CTCTTTTAACAAAATAACCATGAACAGTTACAAACAGTGGTTTATTTAGAACATGAGCAGTGCCCTCTTTAACCCTTAATTTTAAAACACTTGCACTACACTGAAAGGAGGAGACTTAAGGGCACCATTTTGACTGACTAGCTGCGGAGATGGACAACCATTAGAAATGCCTGCACTTTGTATCCAGTGCCTTTTGGAATGACACAAACTTTTAAAAAGCTTCTTAATTTAATCTCAAAGTTCTATACTGGGAAACTCATTTTTCAGGATAATTACTAAATGAAAAGTACACACCAAGAGACACACTTGAACTAAGCATTCAAGAAAAGATGAATGCATGTCAGTTTAGATTTCTGTGTTTGCTGTACTGTTACAGAATACCATAGTTATTAACTTTAAAGCATTATTGAATAGGATTGGTAAGTATCTAAAAGGGATTTTAATACATTTATAACTCCCCAGTTTACCTACAAAAAGTAGGGTAACTTTGGCAGCAACAGCTTATTTGCTTCCCCAGATGTTTAGATTTTAAAAAAATCTTGAAAAAATAATACTGAACAATGTATAGAATCAAAGCAACATATAATACAGATAATTATCTTAACTCTTATAAGAAACTTTGAAAGTTACTTTTGATTTTATTAAACACCACATCATCCCTGCAAGAATAATTCAGTTTTCTACAAAAAAGAGAGTAAGTTTGTAAAAAACAATCCTAAACAACATTTACCTTCTGCCATCATTATCCCCATCTGGATTATACCTTAAAATTAAACCCAGCTCAGGAGAGTATCAAATTGTGTGAGAACACCCTTTCCTCTCTTTCCCCCCTATGTCCTGAATTTTATACTATGGTTGGATACCCTGAATTTACTTTGTAATGCATAACTGTAAGTCAAGAAAGATACTCCACAATGTGTGCTTCTGCCTTTTTTCAGGATTACAATATTAATGATTTAGAAGCTCTTAATTAAGTAAAAATGTAGTAGCACATTAAACACTTCATACTGATGATCACAGACACAGTATTTGAGGAGTTCTTAAATACTGCTCTCAGTACCATTAAGTAGTTTATGAATAAAGTTAGTTCTGCACATCTACTAGTACTTATCTACCCTGCTACATCAAAAACACCGACACATGGTGTGCTGCTATTAATTTATCAAATTTCTATGCATTTCAGCATAATGTTACTTCAGTCAATAAAAAGAACACTGTATGAAATATTTGGAAAGGAACTTTGAAGTATGAATTCTTTAAAACTATAAAAGAGATCTCTAAATCATAAAAAACAGCTTTGAAAAAAATGTTCAATTTCATTCCTTTATACAAACTGATTAATCTGTCTTCCTTAATGAGACTTTTTTCTAGCCTAAGAGTAGCTAGTGTGATTTAATTTTCACAACTGTGAGTCACTGGAAAACTTTGAAATTTCTTCCAAAATCTCTAACCACAAGACTATGCCAGTCAACAACTACTACATAACAGCTTCTTCGGTCACACTTGCAGAAAATGTACAGACAATTTGCAAACACATGCTATTTAATACAGAGAGCTATCACAATTGATACTCAACTTTCACAAGTTCAAAAAAAAAAACTATTTGCTGAAACTGCCTCCCTACAAGTTCAGTACTCCATCTTCCCTCTTGAGAACCACATACCTGTATTCAATTTTTAATCTAGAATTGAATACAAAGACTACAAAAACAAGGCAAATGTAAAAGAAACACTGTAATTCCGCATAAAGATACCAGATTGCCATGTTAAGAGGTGATGCAAGTTTCTTAAATAGAACATTTCAATAAAAATTAAAATACATAGGGAAAAGCAAAGCATTTCACATCATTACAGTCAAACATTTATAAGTTAAAAATTAAGCAAAAAAACTGTATCAGCCAGAACCCATGCTAAAATCATGCATGCACACACACATGCACACATATACATGAAACTAGACCACACTTAGGATGATTTTTCTTTTTTAAAACAAAGCCAGAGGCAACTCTTCCAAGTGATGTTATAATTACACAGCTAAGGTGTACTTGTAAAAAGCCCCTACTCTGGCCAATTAAAACCTACAGTTATTTTCACAATTTTCCAAACCTTTTGGGACTGTTCAGAAAGTTTAAGCATAGAACAAGCTCCACAATACTTTTCAACAAACTCAGGTGTCCCCAACAAAACTTAACTTATTCAAAGTAAAAATAACGTACTTCACAACTTCTGCAAAATGCCTGTGAAGCTGCCCTGTGCACACAGGTTTCCTCCCTGGGAGTTCATAGCCAGCAGAACAGCACTAGGTTTTAATATTAAACAACCTGAGACCATTTCATTTCTGCAACACCCATTCCAAAAAAAACGCTCTCCAAAACGCAGCATTTTAATTGACACACCAAGAGAACTCCCCTGAAGACCTGCGACACACAAAAGAATTGCTTTCATCCAAACGAGTCTGCACGTTTTCCCCTATTATCTTGCCTTAATTTATCAAACCAGGGCCGATTTGACGCCTTTCCATTACAAAAATAGACAACGAACCATCCCTCTGCTAGAGGCATCATCTCTGCAGAGGTGATGATAACCCTAGGAAAAGAGAACCTGTCTCTTTAAAATGCCCTGCTATGTCCCTGATCCCACGTGGAACCAACATCAGCAGCACTTTCGCATTAACTTCAATGTGAGGCGAGATGAGGCATCATTATTTTGCATAATTAAAACGAGGAGACTGCAGAACACATTCTTTGTAGGAGACAAACAGGTGAACTAAACGTGCCAGGGAAATCAGCAACCACCCGCAGAAGAGGTGCCCTGTGCCTGAGCCCTCTCTGCTTTCCCTATGGAGCATTACCTCAACCCCACACTACTCTGAAGAATTCAGTTTAAAGAGAGGAGGGAGCCACCAGGAAAACTGGAAATTCAAAGGCAACGAAAATGCACTTTATAAACCGGAAAGGTTTACTCTTTGCCTCACACATCCTAATTAGATCAGGAAAGTGACACTACAAAGGCATTACATTCCGGCCCGGGGAGGGACGCAAAAAAAAAGGAAAAAAAAAAAAAAGGAAAAAAAAAGGGGGGGGGGGGGTGGTGATAAAAGAAACAAACAAACAAAAAGAAAATAGAGGAAAAGAAAGGGGCCCCCATCTCCCCAAGACCCCCAAACATACAAAAAAGCATCTTAAAAGGAAGTTATAAAACAGTACATATAGCATTTATCTTATCTAGAATCACTCCACATTACCCCCAAGTTATGCACTTTCTGCACTATCATCTCCCCCTACCTCTCTCTCCTGAAAGGGATTTTCACGTTTTCTCATTGTCGGTGGCGAGTTATAAGAGGCTTTTGCCTTTCCAAAGAATTCATCAACAAAAAAAAAAATAATAAATATTAACTCTTTGCTCCCTGAAACCTTAAAACGGTCTCGGGAAGACACGGGTTTTATTCTGTTACCTTGACGAAGAAAAGGGGGAGCAGCCCCGATTTTTAGGTATTTTTTGGCATTTTTTTTCTGATTTTTATTTTGTTATATGCCTCAGTTCTCCCTCCATTTTGGTTGTTTATGATACTGACAACAAGCTGTCCCTGCTCTCTCTCTCTCTCTCTCTCTCTCTCCGGATCTCTCCTGCTTTCAGTTAGCAAACCCCCCTCCCCAATGCAACACGACTCAGCACTTACTTGGATCCACACTTTTCTCTAAACACACATCGATGGGGAAGGGAAAAGCTTCTGGGCCACTCGGAGGGGGAGAGCAGGCAAATTCGTTTCTTTATTACGAAAAAAAAAACTTTTGTCCAAAAAACGACGGGAAAGGGGAACCGAGTGCCCCAAAGTCACTCCGGATCCCCCCAAAGACGCAGCCGCCAGGTCCGGGGGACACCCCACGGGTAGCCGGGTCCACGGGGAAAATTTCTGTGCGAAATTCGGCCGGTTTGATGCGGGGGGCGAATTTATATTAATTTTTTCCCTCATTTTTCGGCACCGCGGTCTCTAATGTCTTCCGCTCCCTCTCGCCGCTCTAGCCGCTGTCATTGCATTCACAGCACAGGCTCCGGAGAGGCGAGGAGGGGAGGGGGCGGCCGCGCAGCTCCTGCTACTGCCCCACTGCCGCAGCCGCGGCCCCAGCCCCGGCCCGCCGCGGGGGTCGGCGGCGGCGGGCACCCCGCGCCCTCCTGCCGTCCCCCGGGCAGACCGCTGCCTCGCCCGCTCGCTCGCGAACCAACATAGCGCCGCGGGGAGGGAGGGAGGGGAGGAGTGGAGGAAACTCCTGAGAGAGGGCTTTTTTTTTTTTCTGAAAATCATCTCTTTTTCCCTCCGAGGGAGGGGAAGGGGGGGCACCGCTCGCCTCAGCTCTCCACCCCAGCTCTTCCCCTCCGGGGAAGTCCGACGCGGGGCGGTGGGGGGCTGCGGGAGATGGGGGGGGGGGGAGAGAGAGAGAGGGATGGAAGGGAGGGATGGTTAACACAAACTTTTCCTCACTGCTCCTCTCTCCTCTCCCCCCTCCTTCTCCTCCTCCCCTTTCATAATTTAAATAACCCTGATATTTCCCTGCTAAACCCCGGCGCCTGCCCCCCAAACCCGCAGCAGACTCACCGCGGGAGCCTCAGCATCCCCTCTGCGCCCCGTTTCCACCCTTTACAGTGTTCTCCGATTTTTCTGTAATTTTTTTCCCATATTTCGGGCTGGACGCGGCGGGCCTGGAAATTGTTTGCTTTCCCGTCTTTCCAGCAGCCATTGTAGTGTATGCGCTGCGGTGCAGCCCAGCCTGCCGCACACGCCGCGCCCACACCGCCCGCCGCCCACACGCACCGCGGGTTGGACACCTCCCCCAGTCAGTCAGGGCCGCAGCCGCGCCCCGCAGCCGGCGCCTCCGGCCCGCGCCGCCAGCCCCGTTGGTGGAAGGAGGCGCCGCTCAATGCCGGGGCGGGCCCGCCGCCTCCGCTATTGGCGGACAGGCGCTGCCAGTCAGCGCCGCCGGGGCGTGGGCGGTGGCGGCGCTGGGCCGGGGGGAGCAGCGAGGCCGGGAGCGGGGTAGGCTGCGCCCGTACTTAAGCGGGCTGCCCGAGCCGCTGACGTCTTTCGAATTGGAGACGAGCTGCCCCCCTCCCGTCCCGGGCTCCCGCGGACACGGCCGGGGACCGAGGTGAGTGCCGCCACAGCCGACTCGCGCTGCCTGCCCGTCCGCCTTCCTGTCATGCCTGCGGCTGGGCGCCGCTTTACCTTCCCTGTCAGGAGAAGGGGGAGGCTCGCTCGCCTTCTCGCCTGGGCCCGGCGGCGGGGCCCGGGCACCGCTTGCTGGCGGCAGGTGGTGCTGAGAGGAGGCTGCGCTCGCGCCTCTGCCGTTGGGGCACCGGTGGCCGTGGGGCAACGGTCGATCCCCGCGGAAAACGGGCAGAGGGGCTCGGGGCCGGGCTGGGGTGTTGAGGGGTCGGACCACCGGACTCCTCCAGACACTCCCCCGTTGGCGAGGCAGGGGCTGGGTGGTGGGCGCCGGCTGTGGCCGGTCCCGGTGGCGGCGTACGCGCACCTGACTTGCTTCCCAGCCCTCGTCTGGAGGCTGATCTGCGGGCTCAGCGGTGCCTAGCTTCCGGAGCCACCGGCTGCCCACTCCCGCTCCCCGCTCTAGCAGTGATAAAAACGGTAAGGTTTTTATACGGCCTTTGCTCCGGGGTTTAAGGTTTAACGAGTTGGGCTGTATTGCAGCGTAATTAGTAATTTTGTATGTATATATACGTTTAGAAAAACTCAAACACTTTTCAATGGGAGGGAGCCTACAGAAAAATATCCTGATGGTTTATGAACTGAAAAAGCCCTAGGGCTAAAGAGTGCTAGCAACAAATTCATTTCTCTGTGGTACAGTTTACAACTGTTAATGTGTTAAAGCATAATTAAGAACTGTGGCATAGACAAGCCTTTGGTTGTGGTTGAGTTCAGACCTGCAGTCTGCAAGCAGGAAGGGAAGCCCGTGCATGGGTACGGACTGGAGGGGAAGGCTTGCTTCCTGCCCAACTGCTCATTCAATCACACTGCAGCGTTTCAGCGTGACCTGCCTGCCCTTCTAGCTGGTAATGTTTCAAACCCTGAGGTACTTCTGGGCGGAGGAGGGAGGAACAGGCACTGGAGTGGTCAGACTTTGGTAAACTAAGTATGTGTAAGCTTTTGCCTACTTCAAACTAAGCAGCTTCATGAGAACCTGAACTGCCTGTTCACTAAGTAGCTATTTAATCTATTGTGTGCATTGTGCCTTAAACTGGGCATGGTTGCAGACTGGTAGTGTAATCAAGTTGAAAATGTTAATTGCAGCTTGTATAATGAGCACTGATGATGGTACATCTTATGACTCACAAATAGCCTTTCAGAGAGTAAGACTGAAGTCAGTACCGCACACCTTGAGGCACGTCTGCTTAGGTGGTACTTGCACCTCTAAAGCTTGCCAGACACAAACCAGTCTCTACAAAGATTGTGTCTGTCCTGCTGACTTAGATAAGCCACTGTGATATGCTGCCTTTGTTTTCTACTAATGCTCCTTTCCCTTTAAGTCTTCCTGATGCAGTTCTTTAAAAGGCCCATTTGTAGAAAATGAGCATGTAGAATTAAAAAAAAAAGTAAATCCAATACTTCAAGCACCAGGAAAGTATACTTGTAAAAGGTGCAAAATCTAAGGGTTAGTCACCTGGAATACCTTACTCTTACTGAAAGAAGAACCTTCATCTTGAGACCAAGCCATTAGGCCTTAGCTGACATAACTTTGCTATTTTGGAAGAGTATGACCGCACACACTTAACAGAAACCTGTCTGCAAGTAAGGACCTGCCCTCCTGATAGGGCATGATATACAGTAAGTTAAAACTCCAGTATGTAGGCAGCCTTGCATCTGTTTTTGTAAGTTGCTTATAAGCAGGGACATCCCTAATGGCAAAATATGATAACAGTTTGAATGAAGAACCAGGCATGTAGCTCACAGGTATTAGCAGTTAATAATACTAAGCTCAAAGGTAAACAGCTGTAAGAATCCTGATTGATACTAGCCTGTAGACTATAGTGGTAGCCCTAACCCAAGTGCACAACAGGATAAGAAAACCACAAGTTATGTAACTTGCCGAATTGTATGAATGTATCCTTTAGGTAAAATTGTATCAAGATGAAAAGTAGATTTAAAAGAACCCCTAAGATTTACTGTTCTTTGGGCAGGTGTATGGAGGTTTGAACCCCCATGTGCTCCTGGTGCCAATAAAGGCTTGTGCTTTACTTTACAGTGTGTACTGTGGAGTGATTTCTTTGAATCAAGTTGGCAATCCAGGCAGGAGACTGTCCATTCGGCTGTGAGACCTTCTGGGGCCAGGGACCCTCAGGGTGCCCCTGGAGAATTCTCCAGAGAGACTTTCTCGTTTCCATTGGATCATCACAGGAACGGACAAGACCCTGAGACAGGTACACAACTTCAAAGCACTACATTACTTTGAAGGAAACACTTAGTTTGTGGCTTAGGGCTACCCATAAGTCATATGCTGGGTATTGCAGCACTGACCTGCTAGCGGTACATAGGTGCTTGGGGTTAGAGTCCCCATTGTCGTTTGTGTGGATTGCAGGTTAAAGTCCTGCCTGGATTCCAGGCTATAGTCCTGATTTGGCATGTATGTAGATAGAGGCTGGAATTTGTGCAGTCCTAGCTACTGTTATCAGCTTCCTAATTTATTATGTACGGATATGTTTTATGCCTTTGAATTTGGTACCTTGTATCTGTTGAATAATGTCTGTCTCATAGTAAATGCTACTCTGTCTAGTCTGTCTTTAAGACGTGACTAAATGTATGTTGAAGAATCCATAGAGGATGTTGCTGTAGAATTGGTAGGATTATCACTTTGTGTTTAGTGTTCACCCATTTTTGTGTTATCTGTAATCAGTGTGCATTTTTGGGGAAATTTAATATGAGGGAAGGGCAACCTGGTTATGAAATCCAATTAGAAATAGTTCAGCATTTGCTGGAACAAGAACTATCTATTCAATTATAACTGCATGGTATGGAATGAGTGAATGTATGTGAAAGACATACAGTTAGGTATAGTGTGAGTGTGGAGTTCAATCTGTGGTTCTGTTCTCCCATAAGGGAAATGGAGATGAACAAAGCGAAAGTAACATGGAGTGAGTGCACAAGTAACACAATCATCATTGGAATGTGATATTATCACAAAGCAAGTGCAAATGGGAAACCAGGAAAGTCAGCATTTTATACTAAAAATCCCCTGGGATGTATCTTAACACACAGGAAGGAAATCGGGCATCCCCTAGGAGGAAGCAAGAGCAAAAAGACCTTGATAAAATATTGTAACCAGTGGTGGCCATTGCATAAATTGGAAGGGGGAGAAAAATGGCCAGAAAATAGATCCTTAACTGTGGTATGATGTTATAGTTAATGCTTTTCTTATGAAGGTGGCATGAAGTCATGTACGCAGATACATTTTTCACACTGAGACCATCCGGAGTGGCAGAAAGACTGTGGGATAAACATTGCACCCGATAAACATTGCACCAAATTCTGTTTGTATTAACACTAGAAAAAAAGAAATAAAAAGCAAGAAGTTGAAGTGGTGCTGCTAATCATGCATCCTATAGAAGGACAGAGGTGCTTGAAATACAAGGAGGAGGGGCCTCAGGAAATGCTAGAAGGTTTTCTTAGTCCCAGGGAAACTGCAGAAGTATTAACTCCTCCCCCTTCCCCAGAGCATGGGAGGGGAAGGCAACAAAACTCCCTGTCACCATCCTTTTCACAGCTAAGCAGAGAACTCGGGCCAAGTTGTGAGCTTGATTGGCTCTGCCCGTATTGAAAGATAAAGGTGTGATGCAAACCTCTCTTAGGGAAGCTGAGGGACTCATGAGGCTAAAGGTTAATTTCTCTATGGGAGACTTAAGAAGTTGTAAAGCAATAGCAAGAAGTTACAGAGAAGATCCCACAGGCATGGCAAAGAAATTTACAATCTTCAATAAAGCCCTAGACCTGGATTGGGCTGATACTGATTTAAGGTTAGACGCCCTGCAACTGAGACAAAAACGAAAGGAAGAAGTCAGGTTGAACAATCACCTATGCAACCATTGCAGTCTTGGGAAATAAATTATCAAGGAGATAGAAAAACCTTGAGATGCATCGGAAGAGTCCTTTTCAGGTCATAACACGAGGGCTCCTAGTAATAGGGTAAGGGCTAATCAGTGTGGTTTTTGTAAACACGAAAGGCAGTGTCCCAAATTGGGAAGGGAGGAGGGGGACCTCCCATACCTTGCTGAATTAGAATAGGGGGAATTGGAGGATCAAACTCCAGACAATCCCCTGGTTGTAATGAAGCTGGGGAAAGAAGACGCAAATGTAGAAATTGTAGTACACACCAGAGCTACGTTTTCCATGTTAAATCAACAGTTAGCTTTGATTGATAGCGAATCTTTAAACGTGATTGGGGCGAAAGGCCAGCAACAGAAGGTACCATACATGCAACATCTCTGATACAAAATGGGTAAAATGGTAGGAATGCACATATTTTTATATATGCCGAACACCCCAAAATCCTTATTAGGAAAGGATCTGTTTAAAAAACGTTGGAAGCAGAGATCAAGTTTAAAAATGATGAAATACAAATGAAAACTAAAGATGATCAGTTAATGGAAGTATTAAGTTTAGCTCTAATCCAGCCACAGGTAACAAAGCAGATCCCCTTGGATGTCTTAGATCAAGTCTGTCCAGGAGTGTGGGCTGACAGAACACCAATTAAGGCAAAGCATGCCAAACTGATCCAGGTAAGACTGAAGTCTGGGACCCGACTGGTAAGAATCAAACAAAACCCCCTCAAACTAGAAGACAGGAAAGGAATTAAACCTGTGATTTATTTTTTTTTTCTCTTCAAATTTGGCCTTTTAGTAGAATGTGAATCCAAACACAACATCCTCATTTTGCCAATCTGGAAACTAGATGGGAAAAGCTATCCATTACTACAAGACCTGAGAGCTGTTAATAAAATAGTAGAAGACCTTCATCCCATAGTGACCAACCCTTATACTTTGTTAACAAAGAGAATCTTGTTTGGTTTACTGTTTTAGACTTAAAAGATGCTTTCTTCTGCCTGCCCTTGGATCCAGAAAGCCAAAGGTTATTTGCTTTTGAATGGGAAAATCTTGAGTCAGGTTGGAAATCCCAACTCACCTGGACCGTGTTACCCCAGGGCTTCAAAAATAGCCCAACATTATCTGGAAACCAACTGTCAAATTACCTTGAGGACTGGATGGCACCCACTGGGGAAGGAGTTTTGCTCCAATATGTAGATGAGCTGTTGATAGCCACCAAAATCTTAAACAGCTGTAGGGAATGGGATAGTAAGCCTGTTAAATTTCCTCGAACTTAAAGGATATAAGATACTCAGAAAGAGGCACAAATAACGAATCAAGAAGTCACCTACCTGGTCTATGAGGTCTCAGGGGACAGCGGAAATTAGAACAAGAATGCAAAGAAACAAATTACCAAACTCCTCAGCCCAGGACATCTAAGGAACTTTGGATGTTTCTCAGGATGACAGGTTGGTGTCAACTCTGGATCTATAATTATAGTAAAACCCCTATACCAGTTGCTGCAAACAGAAATGAGGGAATTACAGTGGGCTGGGGAAACAAAACAAGCACTTAATGAATTGAAGGAATTCATGAGGGCCCCAGCCCTCAGACTCCCAGATGTCACCAAACCATTTTGGTTATTTTCACATGAGAGACAAGGCATAGCTGTAGGGCCTAGCTCAAAATATAGAACCCTATAAAAGAGCTGTAGCTTACTTCTCAAAGCAACTAGATGAAGTAAGCAAAGGATGGCCTGGACTCTCATGGGCAGCGGCAGCTGTTCTGAAACATCCAGGAAGCTTGAAAATTCACTATGGGAGAAAAAGATGACTGTCCTGATACCACATACGTATCTGCAGTACTGGGTCAGAAAGGGCGGCACTGGCTGTCTCCCTCTCGGTTCCTTAAGTACCAAGCAACATTGGTAGAACAAGATGATGTAGACATAGTCACTACTAATACTGTCAACCCAGCCTCTTTTCTCAGGAGTGCCACAGCAATCGGGGAGCCAGTAACTCATGACTACCTAGAAACCATTGAAGCTTTTTACTCAAGCTAGCCTGATTTAAAAGAGCAACACTTGCTGGAAATAGAAACCTGGTTCACTGATGGAAGCAGCTTTATTAAAAATGGAGTTTGGAAAGCAGGATATGCTGTAACCACTACTCAGAGAGCTATTGAAGCCTGAGCCCTCCCAGCAGAAACATCGGTGCAAAAAGCCAAAATGATTGCTCTAAAAAGAGCACTAGAATTAGCCAACAGAAGAGACATTAATATTTGGACAGACTCAAAATATGTGTCTGGAGTAGTGCATGCCCATGGGGCTGTGTGGAAAGAGCATGGGCTTTTGATTTCTCACAGAAAACAAATCGAGTACTCTGTGGAAATATTGAGGCTTCTTGAAGCTATAAAGTTACAGAAGTGAGTGGCAGTGATGCACTGCAGAGGACACCAAGGGGTGACATGGATCAGGATAAAGGGAACCGACTGGTGGATCTAGAGGCAAAGAGCGGCAGAAGTAGTAAACCTACTGGTCATAATACTAACTGTAAAGATAGGAAGTGTTACTTCTGAAATTTCTTAATCAAAAAAAGATTTAAAACTAGCTTAGGATTTAAAGGCACAACTTACAAATAAAATTTATGTTCTTCCTGAAGGACAAATAGTAGTGCCAGAACAAATATTATGGAAAATAGTTCAAGAACATAAGACACACTGGGGAGCAGCTGCCCTATATAATAGTTTAAAGAGACAAGTAGTGGGATGTAACCTGTACACCACAGTAACACAAATAACAAAACAATGCAAACTCTGCCTCTGTAATAATCTCCAGACTACTAATAAACCCAGTTTAGGGACAATTGGGAAGGGCAGTGTCCCTGGAAAACAATGGCATATTGATTTCTCTGAACTACCCAGAAAAGGGGGGTACAGGTACCTTTTAGTACTAACAGGTACCTTCTCTGGCTGGCCAGAAGCCTTTTCAACCTGGAGCTACAAGGCTCGAGAATTGACCAAGGTGCTCCTTAATGAAATAACCCCCAGATTTGGAGTACCAGCGACCATATTTTCAGATAGAGGTACTTGGTTTTGTGCACAAGTTGTACAGCAGATCAGTCAGATAGTACAAATTGATTGGCAGTTACAATTAGTTAGCTAATTTAAACTGCAGTCAAGCATTACCTCTAGCCTTGTTGCGGATAACGGTTAGACTGGCATTAAAAGAGAAACTAAGCCCTTTTGAAATGCTTTATGTATGACTGTATACTGTACAATATCAAGGGGAAGACTTATATCAGGCTGATATCTCAACCATAAAATTGGAATATATTATTAACCAAAGCCTTGTAGGATGGGGAGCCTGGATTCAGTCTAGAATACCCTGTACTAGACACAGAATGGACTTGATGGGATGGTTCAGATCAGGAATGGGAGTCTTAAACTCTGTTGATCAAGAAGTCTTAGTAAATAAATTAAGTACAGTTACCTCGGAGCTAGGAAATCTGGAAATTTCACTCAGATCATCTCACCTGACCATTGCCCAAACACAGCAGTTGGCAAGTGATCTTACAACAGTGTTAGCAGAACACACTGCCCGGGACCTATATCACATTATTAATTTTATAGGGAATTTGCAAGGAAATCTGTCTCTAGCTTTAGACTGGATTCAGTCACAACTCTGGTTACAATCTGTTGCAGTGGCTATTATTAGGGAAGGAGAAACAGGACTTTTGTGACAAGAAGTATGAACAATTATTGTTAGAAATAGTACTGATTTTGAGAAAACATCAAGCATGGTGGGAAATAGTAAATTTCACATATAACCCATTTCAGAGGGAAATTACTGCTTTTGTGTTGACAACTGAACATGACAAAGTATTAGACATGTTTCCTGTGTTTGTCTCTAGAGACCATACACCAAGCCATTGTAGTCAGACCGATGGGACACAGTGTATGGGCAAAATTTAAGACCCAGAATTGACAAACTATAAGCATAGAGGCTTGTACTCAGAGAGAACAGTTAGGGTTCATCTGTGAAAATGCTATAACTGAAAATGAAGATATCTCTCTCTGTACTGAAGACATCACTTACATTTTCAAAATTATCCCTGTCATTCATTCAAGCTCCCAAGTATATTCCATTGAAAAGGGATGTTCTTGCATAAGAACTGCGTGTGAGAATATAACAATTGATAGCTGTATTGAAGAAACAAGTGCTACCAACTTTTCTGTATGAAATTTCACCAAAATCATTGGATGTGATTTTAATTACACCATCCCTGTAGCAACTAATCAACTAATACAGATAACTGTGTTATACCACGATACATCTCTCCTACAAATTGGAATGAAATAGAAATTTCATTCTTTTCAAAGAAGATGTTGCATCACCCAGACCTCGAGAAGATGATACATAAGGTCAGTGAAACTTCCCAGTGAGCAGTGTGGACTGTTAAGCACAATGTAGAAGAAATTAAAGAAATCATCACCAACATCAAGACAACTGGAGAACACCACTGGTGCAAAATTTTCTTGGGAGGGACAAAATGGCAATCTCCTATGGCAATTCAACTTCTGAATTTTCTGGTCCACCCCGTTCTTATGCTAATACTGACTATAGCCTTATTAACTATTGTTAATTTGTAGATATGGTGGAATGTTCGCACGGTAGCTCAGCAAGTGTACATACTATGGACTGCACAAAAGAATTTGCACAATTTTGAAGAAGAGGGAGGATTGAGACCAAGCCATTAGGCCTTATTTGACATAACAGCTATTTAAGAAGAGTATGACCACACATGTTCAACACAAGCCCGTCGTAAGGACCTGTTCTCTTGGTCTAGAATGATACACAGTGAATTAGAACTCTGGTACGTAGGCAGCCTTGCGTCTGTTTTTGTAAGTTGCTTATAAGCAGGGACATCCCTAATGGCAAAATACAGTAACAATTTGAATGAAGAACCAAGCACGTAGGTCACAGTTATTAGCAGTTAATCACTCATACTGTGTTCAAACGTAAACAGCTGTAAGAATCCTGATTAATACTAGCACAATAGGATGAGAAAACCACAAGTTATGTAACTTAACCGAATTGTATGAATGTATCCTTTAGGTAAAATTACATCAAGATGAAAAGTAGGTATAAAAGAACTCCTAAGATGTACTCTTCTTTGGACCTATGTATGGAGGTTTGAACCCCCATGTGCTCCTGGTGCCAATAAAGGCTTGTGCTTTACAGTGTGTATTGTGGAGTGATTTCTTTAAATCAATCTAAAACTTTGTTTTCTGTCTGTGAGCTAGTAAGAGCAGTATTTGCCTTTTTTTGTTGTTGTTTTTTGTTTGGTTTTTTTTTTGTTTGTTTTGGTCTTTTTTGTTTGCTAGTATCAAGCAAAACTGGCTTTTTACTACAGTTTTGCAGTTACCAGTCTCTTATGTGAACAGAAACAGGTTTAAGTTAGAATTAGCAGCAGTGTTTTTAGGAAAGCCCCAATAAGATCAAGCAAGGATGTTCTTCAGCAGTTTCCTTGATCAGCTGTACTTTAATTTGCTGCAAAGACAGTCATCTGGTCAACGTTATTTTTTGTTAGATTTCGTGTTTGTTTAGAACAAATACCTGCATGGCCATATGTGTGCCTGAGGCAATGTATGGGAAGTTGTAAAGGGAATGAGGGTCTGCTGTTCATATTGATGTCATCATCTTGGATCAGTTTGGGTTCTTGGCACTGAACTCTGTTTCAAGCTTACAGTTCCTAGAGTCAGTATTAAACTACTGAACTGGTGAAAAACATGATTCAAGCTGTCATATGCAGTGTAAGTGGGTCTGGTCCCTCCTTGCAGTGAAACCATTTCTTCTTCTGTTAAGTAAGATCTGACACAGCAGCACAGGAGGTGGTTGGGCACTTGTTACGCCTGGGAGAGCTCAGTGGAGATACAGATGTGATCTAGCAAAGGAGTAGCCACAAATCTTGACAAGTTTACTTGTACGTTGCTCCCACACACTATTTAAGTGTCTCCAGTGTGTTGGCTGTGAGCATGTTCTGTGGAGTTACTTCTACTAGACAAGGTCACTCCCTCAATGATACGAGAGGCTGGTGTAAGAGTCACTGCCATGGCTCTGTTTTCTGCAGGAGTTTGTTAGGGAATAAGCACTCTTGATGACAGGCTAAACTTGCTTGAGTTGTCTTGCTGCTAGTGCTTTTGAAGTAGTATTTTGCAAAAGAAGTGTGGTGGGGGTGGTTTGTTATCTTTTTTTAAGACAGCCAAACTGTATGTTATTGGAGGGCCTTTATTACATGCTGAAGCCCAGACTTAATCCTGATTTACTATTGAAAGTGGATACTTAACCTGTTACTTTTCTGTTTCTAGCCAAGGTACAAGTGTCTGTCCAGAATGTCCAGGCATGCGCAACTTAGAGACCATGATGTAAATCCATGTATAGTGGTAAGATGATCAAATTGGGATTTCTGTTTGTATGTTTTAAAGTTAAATAATACAATTTCTAGAGGATTTTTTTTTTATGAGTAGCACTCTCACATTGGCTTTTTGCATTAAAAGTTTCTTAAAGAGTCTGAAGTTGGGAAAATCATGCATTATAGTAAGTGTGAAATAACAAGTAATTCCTCATAAATAGGAATAATACAGCTGATAACAGTCTTTTCAATTTTCTGTCCTTAAAACCAGAGCCTGAAATCCTGGTTAGACAAGCTTGGTTGATTTTTAGAAATGTTTTGTGTGTTATTCCAAGCATCTTTGTAAACAACTATTCTATGGACTCTATCCTTACTATTTAAAGAGCACTAATGTCTGTTATCTTCAAATGAAGTCATTGCTTGGACTTACTGATTATTCTTTGTGGTAGATGTTCCTCTGCTCTCTTTGATAGTATTTCATCTGAGAAGCTGCCTCCTGTCTCTGTTCTGGGACTTGTTAGAATTGTTAGACTTTGAGTACATTAACTTCCGTCAGCCCTGAACTATGTTTTCCCTAATAAAGGAAACAGATGCCTCTAATAAATGCATGGATGACAACAACTATAATAAGGATAAGTGTACTGCTTATTTCTTGAAGTACAGAAACTGCAGAAAATTCTGGGTAAGCACAGTAGATTTTCTGAATTTTACTCTTTGCCTTGCTTTAAGTACATTACTTCTGACACACTGCTTTCTGAACTCTGCAGACTAAGTGCTGACTGCTGCTGTTTTTATGGTAACTTGCAGTTACCTAGGTAGTCTCAGTACGTATTGCTGAAAGAGTTAAGCAGGTGCACATCAAAGTACTTGGTTCTCTTAAATTTACCCTCTTGCATTATGAGTGTTTTTGCAGTACCTGATAATGTTTCCCTCTGAATTTGCGTCAGATGTTTCTAGTAATAAGTTTTGTTTTAAATGGATGTAATGGAAAAAAAACTGAAGTAAGTTCCCATTTTTCCATTGTTTTGGGTTATGTTTACTTGAACCTAAGATAAAGCTTAGGAAGAGTTCATTCTTATTTGATGGTGTCCTTATTTCCTTCTCTCTTGTGGAAGAGAAGCATCATGAGGAACTATGTGCAGTTAAACTGTTCTCTGTTTTCGCATGCCATAGTAGTAAAGAGTTGTCTAGCTTAGCCTTGCACAAACTATAAAAAGAGTATTTACAGATGTTAGTTGACATAGTGAAGTTACAGTATTCTCATTACACTATTTTCTGAAGCAGCAAGGTAAACTATCTGATTTCTTCAATTAAGTACTAGCACATTTAGTTATCAGCTAATCAGACTTAGAGTATCAGGCTCTTGATATATAAAGAGTACTTCTATTAAAGGATCTTATTCAGAGCTCCAAGGCAGAGATTTCTGAGAAATCGGTGTTCTCATGGTCATTTTCTATTTTCAGCATGCCGTTATGATGCAAAGGAGAAGAAATGGAGTGAAACCAGAGATGCCTTCAGCAGAAGAGAGAAAGAAAATGTTGGAATCGATGGGGAAGCCCTACTGACTAGAAACTTGGGTTGCTTGACTTGTTTTCACCATACATATGAAGATTTACCGGCAGCAAGTTTATCTTTCATGAACTGGAGTTTACAGTTGCCATATCTTGGATTAAAATAAGCTCCTAAATTTGGAAATGTGTGAGCTTTCTAGGATAAAACTTCTTGGTTTTATTCATACTCCCTGTCTTGGGAACTTGGCCTCTCACTGGAAGACACAGTATTGACACAAATTATGTCTAGGTACTTTGGAAGTAGAAACTAACTTGCTCTGAAATGCTAAATATAAAATTAACGGGACTCACAGAAAATCTGTTTGAAAGGAGAGAACTGGTGAGTGTTGCTGTGTAGTTCTAACAATGGAGCAGGTTAAGAGACTGGTATGTGCAACGTGTTGCTGGTATCCAGCTATTCTGCCTAGTAATGTGTATTTACTGTGTGTGATCTTACCGCTGTTTTCACAAGTTGTATTCTGTGTTCCCAGTTTAATAAGACCATTCATGAACTAAAATCCCAAATCCAACAAGCTTGTCATTAAGTCTGCCACTGCAGTCATCAGTGAGAGCAGAAGCTTGCAATAAATCAGGTTTGCTTGTTGCAAGGTTAGAGAGATTGATGAAAATAGAACTGAACTCCTTGGGTCTGAACTGAATAGTATCATCTCTGAATAGTAAATAGATACTTCACTGGTGGACACGTGGGAGGGACTCGCAGACGTGTAAACATATACTGAGTGACATGGCAGGTTTAACTATAGTACATCTCTCTAAGGCTCTCTGGACAGCTGAAGCCCTAGATTTGGAAATGCTTACTCATACAAGACTATCAAAGCTCAGTTTGAACAGGTACTCTAATCTTAAGTGAGACTGATTCCTTAGCTAAACTGAACAACTGCTAAGTGTAAATGAGTTGCTGTCTACTGGAAACAGTTTTGTTACCTCTAGTACCTTCTGGTGTCTTGGCTTAAAAGCTTGTGGTAAAACACACAAAAGGCTGTCATGAGCTCAAGTTCCATGTTAAATCCTTTAGGACTCACTGCAATCAAATTGGCAGAACTCTGGCTGACCTCATGGAGGATGGTGTAAAAGTGTTGTCTCTCTATTTAGACTGTTTTGGAAAGACTTCATGGCTTCCTGTTTCTCCTTATGTCTGGCTTGTCTTGTTTCTTTCCACTGGAGGCCTATTTCTGTGCTAATGGGATTTTTATGCTATTTCCACCTTCACCATTGTTACTTGACCTGACTAGTAACAATTGGAGATCTGCTTTTGCTCCTCTCTTCTTTCTGTCTGTTGTTCCCCTTATGCATCTTGAGTTTTGAAATGGATTGATCATGCCCTTTCTGTTACTGGAAGGAGTGTGTAACTCTATGCTTTTTGACTTCTCCGAGCATAGCTGTGCAGCCTCCGAGCCATGTCACAAGTTCCCTGGTCAGTTCCTGGCAAGGGAAATAGACTGTTTTTTTCAATCAAGATTGTCAGATTCTTTATTTTAAATTACTTTCTCTGCGCCTAAAATTAAAATTTTGCTGATATTTTTGTGTGTGTAATGGAGAGCAAACTTTCATTACAGATTCAAAGGCTCTTTATTGCCCACCACCTCCTTGTCGCCTTCTTCCAATACTGTCCTACATACCGGTTTTTCCTTTTTTGTCCATTTGGCACCAGTTCTTTTTTGCCAATTTGAGCATTTTGGTCAGTTCTCATTCAAGCTTTTATTTTAACTAGTAGTTTTGTTTTGTCTCGGATCTGATGATGTAGTCTTGCAGTGACTTCTAATAAAGCTCCTTTTGAAGGTCTTGTTTTCTCTGTTCAACCTGTCTTAGAGAGCTCTTTGCTTTCATTAGTCAAACTTAACCATAATACTTCCTCATTTTCCATGCCTCTGCTTGATGATCTTGTTCATCTGTAGTTTTTGGGGAGCTGACTGTCCCCTCTTCCTTAGGGTTGTGTCTCTTTGGACCCTTCTGGTTTTGCTGCATTGCTGTCTAAGGGCACCTTCTCTCCTACTTGGCACAAGTTTGTCATTTGGCACCTCTGCTGTATCTTTGGGCATGTTCTTTGCTTCTGCAGCTTTACCTACTATTCTAGTGCTGCTGTTTGCCTGTTGCTATGCTCTTATGTTCTGGGCTTACATGAAAATATACTGTACATTTTAGTTCTATGCAAAAAACCCAGCATCTCCTCTTGATGTGGTTATGCTGATTGTTCCTTCCATAAGCTCAAGTTCCTTAATATTATTTATCCTAGGTTTTCCTTTCAGGTTTTCTTTGAGTGTCAAAGTGCCCTTTCTCATAGGCTAATAGTTGCATTTACAAAATTTTCCTGTCAGTGTTTACTTGGAAAGTTTCCACTGTTTTTGTTTTCTTTTAAAGAATGACAGACTTATCTTTAGATTATAATAGGCACACTATACTACTTTGCAAAGTATTTCTAAAGAACTGTGACTGGACTGGACTTTGGAAAGTCAGAAAAGGAGATGTGTTCCCTGCTTTCAAGTATCAATGCAAGTATGTGGGATCACAGGACAGGCTAAGGCACATGTAATGCAAGATCAGTATTCTAATATTAGACTTCCTGGTCATCACTGGTCACACATGGTAAGCTCCCTGTGGGTGTTATGACAGAATTGATTTTAATGAAGAACTGGGGGCAATTTAAGCAGTGACCTTGTAGGTTTAGTTTGGGCAGTCTGTTAACCATTGCAGAGAATGCCACTTACTCATTTATTTCTGTTGCATATGCCTTATAGTTATTGTTAAATAAGACAACTTTATGAAAAATCTTGGAAAGCAAGAAGTTTTCTTCCTCAGGTCATAATGATTCTTGAGTAATTCATTACTTAAGTCTAAGTTGTCATCATTTTTCCCCCTAACTGAACGTTGATGTTCTTGCTTTCACTGTTGAGGCTCAAGAGTGGTAAGTTATGATAGCTAACACATAGGCTCTTATGTATGAAATTGTTGATTTTGTTTCCATTAATTTTTCTAGTGTGGTTAACTGTATTTGATGGTGAGCCAAAGATACAGTTTTTTTCCTCATACTGGAGAGTTTGCATTCCACACTTCACTGAAACACTGAGGTAAGCTGTAGCCTGCCAGTCTTAACTGGGCAGAAAAACTAGGCTGAGTTCTGTTTTGCTGAAGTATGTTCTTGTGTACTAGGCCAGAAAACACAACACAGTGGACCAATATAATTAATTCAGAAGCTGGAAAAAGACCTACGGGTTTTAATAGGTGTAATTCTTCATTTTGCTTGTGGTACGAGGACCAAATCTGCGTAGTGGCAATAATGTTTTATTTTTTTTGACAGCTGGATGGTGCTGTTGCACAACAGACTGCATGAAAACAGACTCACTCCACCTACTACTGGCTCTTTTTCGAGCTTTTTTTTAGCCTCTTCCCACAGAGATCACAGAAATCATGCAGGAGAAAGGGAAGATTGGTGCTGTCTCTATAAACAGAAGAGGAGGGCAGTTTCAAGCACTGCTGGAAAGCAGGAGGTTTCTGTATAGCCTGAGAAGCTTTGGGATATGGTCCTGAAAAGAGTATTTTTCACTGTGGTCATTTGATAGCAGCTGCAGGCTCTCTGTCAGGCTCAGGTGAATGTCCAGGCTCCTGTCTGTACATTTTTACCATCTCATCTTTCCCATTATTTCCCAGTGCATGTTTGTACTTGGTATGTTTGGCTCGAAGTTTTGTGCTGCCACAGCTGGGATTAGTCTGTGCTCTTGAAGGTGCTAGAAGTCATCTAGCTCTAGTGTCCCGAAAACTTCTTCAGGTTTAATAGCTGAAGCTTTGAAAGGCAGGGAGCTGCATGTTCTGCGGCTCTGAGTGGTCTCGTAATAAAACTTTCACGCTCTTGTTACCAAGGCCATGTGTATAGGGAAGGTTTCCCTAAAACTTCTGCAGAACAGACAGGATGAATGTAGAGTATACAATGTTGTTCTGTTCCAGTACCTTTGGAGGCAGCCCCTAACTCATGCTGAAAGTATCTGCACCTTCATAGTCAAATCTTCAAAAGAGGTTTGAAAAAAAGTAATCTTATTGTGAAAAAAAGTTTAGAAAAATAGTACACTATTGCAGGCTGTTCTCTTGAAATAATTTGAGGCAACTGGAGGAAATAGTTCTGCAAGTGTTGAAAATAGTGCAAAGTAAAAGAAACATGCTACTTGAGATTTTTTATATTTTTGTTGCAGCCTGTTTGATAGAAGAAAATTCTAAGAGGGAAGTACTGGATTATACTGACTAAATACAATGGGTCATTAAAATAAACCCGTAGTATGGTTTATACATTCTATCTTAAAATTCCTTTCTGAGGATTTTCAGTCTTAAGGCCTTCAGTGTAATGATCCTCAAATCCCACGTGATTACCTGGCTTTTGGCAATTGAGCTGCTAACTTGAAATTCCTTTGTGGCTTGCCTGTCTTCAGCATCCCTTTCAATAAGCTCAAACCTCTTGTCTTCACACTGATGGCTATGTTCTGCCCTGGACACCGTTTTCCTATTGCATTATTATTTTAACTTCTTTTCTTCAGGTACAATAAAATCCTGATGTCAGTAATATCTTTTTGCTTTATCAGTTACTCTGCTTTCAACCCTGTGTTTTAACTTTGATCACCATCGATGCTTGAAGTTCAAAGTTCATCTTGGAGGTTTTGTTGTATGGCTTTATCCTCCCTAATTGCCTTATGCCTAGTAATCTTTCACGAGCTAATTTCCATTCTCTCTGGCTGGAATATCTTCCCTGCTCATATATGTATTATACAACTGATTATTTTAATCTATTTTTTGCGACACTATCTTTCCTTTCAACCCAAAATACACATTTCACACAATGTATTCTTTGTTTTCACAAAACACAGCTAATTCCCTGGGATTTAATAAAAAAGGCTATTTTAGCAGCAAACTCCAAAACTACCTGTGTATCTACATAAACTGCTAATTAGGCAGCTAATGAAAACATCTCTTAAGTTAGAATCATAGAATCGTTAGGGTTGGAAAGGACCTTAAGATCATCTAGTTCCAACCCCCTGCCATGGGCAGGGACACCGTACGCTAAACTGTATCACCCAAGGCCTCGTCCAGCCTGGCCTTGAACACTGCCAGGGATGGAGCATTCACAACCTCCCTGGGCAACCTATTCCAGTGCCTTGAAGTTCTGATAGCCCTTTCTAAAAAGAGCTTTCCAGTCTCCTTTGTTTTATGGTGGTACGTTGTCTGTAATTCAGGCTGTTGGCTCCTTGAGCAGCAACCTGCCATTTGTTGTTAGCCTGTACACAGCTGTGGCACTGAAGGAACAATAAAAATAACACTAAAGTTGGGCTGAGAGCTACAAAATGTTTCCTGCCTTTCTGATGCTGAAGTAATGTGGCAGATGGTCTAGTTCTTGTTACTAGTTCCTTCCCTAGCAAATCTCTTACGAGGACTGGCATGAGAGCCATTTAGTATGAAATGCTTTCTCCCAGTGCTGTCTATGGGAGCAATTCCTTAATCTGTTATATAATATCTGACAAAATCAGACAAATTGGATGGCATGGCTCTTCTGTCAGCTGGACAGATTTCTTTTGTTGTGGGTTCTTTTTTTTTTTTTTTTTTCCC